TTCCTGAAAACCCAAACACAGTGTGATGCTTTCTTGTTCAACCTTTTCTGCAGTTGGAACGAAATATGAGAGAGAAAGAGAGAAGACACGAGATGAAGATGGACACAACCCCCTGCACACTGGCAGGAATTTTAGGCATCATTTTATCCACCCCATCCCCTTAGAAATGGGGAAACCAAGGCTCAGAGGGCCCAGTGAATGGCCAAGTAGTTGTGAATTTCCCATCTGAGGGTGAATGTGGACATTCCAGGACTCCGAGGCTCCCGTGTCCAATGGACCTTCCTTCCAACACTCTTCATAGGTACACAAGGGGGTTCCCCTTCTCTGAAGCCTCTCCCTCACCGCTCCCAGCTGCCCCGTGAGGGTTTCCATTCTGCCCAGATCAGACCCCCCGAGCCACCGTTTCATTTCTCTCTGCAGTGCCTCACTCACTGTGTAAAATTAGCTCAGCCATGAGTTTCAGGAACAAATACCTGTCACCTCCTTCAGTGTCGAGAAAAAGAAACTAGAGGGGACTTTCCTCCTTTCCCGCCAGCCAAGGCTGGGCCTCCAGCAATGCAGGGGCTCAGGAGAGAGCTGGAGGAGGGGCCCGGGATGCCTGGCAGCAGAAGGAAGCTCCCTGGACCCTCCCCAGCCTGGACAACTGTCCTCCCACACTGAATGTGTGTCCTGTTGTTCTCAGGTGTCCTTGCACTGTACATGGTTGCTTTGGAAACACGCATTTCTGAACGTCGTATTGAAGTATGACACAGGTACAGAAAAACGCATGAATCCTAAGTGCATGGCTCAATGAATTTCACACACTAAGCACCAGTAACACCACTGGATAGAGAAATAGAATGGCTTTGTTCCCCCTCCGCCAGGAACCCTCCTCATGCCCCCTGGAAGTCAGTACCCAGACCCCCAAAGAGAGCCCCTCTCCTAACTTCTAACAATGTAGATCTGTTTCGACTGGTTTGGAAATCTGGATAAACGCATCATGGTGTGTGGAGTCTTGTATCTGGCTTCTCTTACTAAGTATCGAGTGTGAGGAATCATCTCATTTTTACATGTGGATCTAATCATTCATATTCACTGCTGCATTCTCCATTCTAGAAACACATCACACTCTGTATGGTTAAATGACATGAAATTGCCATGTTGTCGATTACCAATAACAATTAAAGGGGGAGGCTTGAGAGACGGGGAGCCCCCTTGCGCCCCTATGAAGAGTGTTGGAAGGAAGGTCTGTTGGACGTGGGAACCTTGGAGTCCCGGCCCCTCAGACTGGAAGATACCCTGAGACTGGGAACTCACAACTACTTGGTCTGCTGTGGACTCTGTCATGTTTTTTGTAACCATCCATATGATCCATGCATTTTATTTCTGGTAAATACAGGTGTTGGTATTGTATTGGCCTCTCATTCTGGCCCTTTTTTACTTTTTTAAATTGATGTTTTGTTTTTAAAATTCATCTGTGCTGCTGCATAACCAGGGTATGCCCACCATACAGCTCACCCCTCACTGAGGGGCGCTGGACGGCTCCCACACTCCCCAGCACACATAACACCATCATCCACGTCCCCAGTGGACCCCAGGTGAGAATTTTGGGGTGTATGTGTATAAGAGTGCAATGGTGGGCTCATATTCTTGCGAGTCCACCGTTTTAAATTCATCCACCCCACTGATACTCTGCAGCTTATCCAGCAGCCCAATGGGCAGTGCATGGACTTAGTGGCAATCAAAGGTCCTAGGTGTCCCAGAGGATGGATGGATGGGAAGGAGCTGGGAAGAAGCTGGGGTGAGGGGAGCGGGGCCGGGTGGGAGGGAGGGTCCACAATGAGCCAGCAGGGGGCGCTGCTGCCTGTGGGATCCTCATGGCCAAGGGTCCCAGGAGGTGGTGGAGGCCATGTGAGGGCTGCTGCTCCAGCTGTCCCTGTCTTCTCAGTGACCTCAAACACTCGTCGGATCTGGCATGAGCCTCTGGGGTGGGACTTTGTAGGCGCTGGGGCATGGGGGTGTCAAGAGTGTGCTGGGCAGGGAGGGATCCCTGCACCCCAACATCCTTGCACTGCCACACACTCAGATGACCTCCTGGACTCCTGCACAGCCATCAGGGAATGGGAGCAGGAAGCATGGGGAGAACCTCGGGCCCCACCCCCAGCACCTCAGGGCTGAGGGGCCCCTGGACTAAGCTCCAAGCCAACAGAGCAGCCTCCAAGCTCTTTGCTACAATATCCCCTATCTTTATGGCCCTACCCTGCTTTGTACCCCAACCTGAAATGCAAGGATAAGAAAGAAAGTGGAAGAGAAAGTAGAACAGATATCTGCAACAGAGGCCATAACAGCTGCCCCCAGGGGACAGGTGTCCTTTATCCAACATAATGAGCTGATATCCTCTGCTCCTTGGACCTGGAGGACAGCCCTGGGTGTGGAAATCAGAACAGTTCTTTCCTCTGCTCTTCCTCCTATGATGATTGAGTCCCATTCATTCATTTGTGCATTCATGTATTTGATCGACAGATGCAGCGTCGCTGCAGTGTGCTTGGCAGTGTTTGTCAGCTGGGAGGGACCGAGTGCTAACAAGACCAGAGTCTCACACACTAGAGTAGGGCTGCCCCAACCCACAGAGTCTCAGTGTTGGACTTACGGAGGCATCCACGCACACAGTCACTCAACACTGGAGGAAGGTGTCCACCTGTGAATGCTGACCTTCTGTATGTGTGTGCATCTCTGGTCTGGCGTTTCTTTATTTTTAAAAAAACAAACCAGCAGAATCTATGAAACTGGACGTGGCCCATGTGTCTTTTGCCTTCTGACAGCCTCCAGGCAAGTCGTGGAAGCTGCTCCAGGGAACATCTACATGTAAAAACATGGATGATTTCCAAAACTTGATATTCAGTAAGAGAAGCCAGATGTAAGAGTCCACACAACAATGCCATTTACCCAGGTTTCCAAACCAGGCAAAACTGATCTACATTGTTAGAAGTTAGGATAGGGGCTCCCCATGGGGGTCTGGGTGGTGATCTGAAGGGACAGGAGGAGGGTTTCTGGGAAGCTAATGCCATTCCAGTTCTCTGTCTACTTCTCCCATGCTCTGTTCTTAAAGCAAGGGTTTTTTTTTATTAAATGAACGCTCGGGGGCCAGGCATGGTGGCTCACACCTGTAATCCCAGTACTTTGGAAGGCCGAGGATCACTTGAGGTCAGGAATTCAAGACCAGTCTGGCCAATACGGTGAAAATCCCATCTCTACCAAAAATACAAAAGTAGCTGGGCATGGTGGTGCACACCTGTAATCCCAGCTACTCGGGAGGCTGAGGCAAGAGAATCGCTTGAACCCTGGAGGCAGAGGCTACAGTGAGCTGAGATCGCACCACTGCACTCCAGCCCGGGTGACAGAGTGAGACTCTGTCTCAAAAAAAACCAAAAATGCTTGGGGTGTGGTTAGACGCACAGCAACAACTACCATGTGTATGACTTCATATTTATCAACTCCCAGTGATTCCCCATTTCACAGATAGCAAGGTAAGGTGCACAGAGGTTAAGGAACTCTTGCAAGTTGCCTAGAAAATTGCAGAAAGAGGGGTCTCTCTGGGCCATCAGAGTCCAGAACATGCAACCTGCTGGAGGTGCAAGACCAGGGCTGCCCCTCCACACCTACCACCTCATGGGTCACTACATATCCAAGGGGTAGGAGAAGGTTCTAGAAAATGAAGACTTTCCTCCAGCAGGCTCCCAGAGGGCATCTGCAAGGGCAATACCCTGAGATTTTATGGCCCTCCAAACTGGGAGCAGGACAGTGTTTCCAAGAAACACAAGAGTTTTATGACGGCTTCATATCTGGTGATAAATGTTTGTTTGACTTTCCTTTTCATTTTCTTTTTGTTTGGAGATTTTTTTTTTTTAATTTCCCCACACTGTTGGGTTTTTTTGTTGTTTTTTTTTTTCTTTTTTTTCTTTTTCTCTCCAAATTTGTTTGCCTCTGTTTTCCAGGTTTTCCAAATTGAGCCCATGTCACGTTTGGAATTAGAAGAAATGTTACTTTATGTAGCAGATCAATGAATGCTGACTTTAACCTGCAGGTCAAGGAAAAAACAAATTATTGGAGCAATTCATGAGAACAGTCAATATCATTCAGTTGTCTAATTTTCTCAGCGTATTTCCTAGGCGGACATGGTGTCAAAGAAAATGTTTCGAAAACATTCCTCCATTGCAGGGTGAAAACGTGACTAAGTCTGACCATGCTCGGAACTTGGAGCCTCTGTGTTCATATTACAGGTAAGGAAACCAAGACTCCCAGTGGCTAAGAGCTGTTCCCAAGGCCGCACGCTGTGACTCCCGCTCATCAGAGCCAGGACTGCAGGGCTGCCACAAAAGGCAGAGAGAAAGTGGTGAGGGCAGCCTGGCTGGCCACCCCCTGCCAGTGAGGCCCCGTCTCCCCAGGTATGTACTCAAGGGCTTGTTGAGAAGTGCCTATGCTGCCTTCAGCCAGCGGCCCCAGGGTTACTGAGCAAAGGCCCTGAAAGCAAAACACTCCTTTGAAGGAACTAAGGTTTTGTCTAGGCTCTGTCAGTCATCTTGCTGCTAAGCGAAGCACAGACAGCTCTGGGTGAGGGGTCAGGAGACGCCCTTTCTCCAGTCATCATGAAACTCACTTCCTCTCTCCAGGCCTGTTTCCTATGAATTAAAATGAAAATGTCAATCAAGATAATAGTAACAATAACTCGTGTTCACTAAGGACTGGTTTGCCAGGTACAGATGCTTGGTCTGTGCCAGCTACTTTCATGCTTACAAGGGCCCTTTACAGGTAGGTAAACCCAGGCAGGGCATGGCTAAGTCACCTGCTAGGGTCCCACGGCAATCACAGGCAGAGGCAAGATTTGAATGCAGGCCTCTGACTGCAGGGCCCAGGACTCAGCCTTCATGCCCTCTGCATTTCCAAGGTTCCAACAGTTTGCTGGCTTTGGCACTGAGTGCTACTCTTTTACTTCTACAGACAAAAAGAAATGCGCTCAATGATGTTCCAAGAGTTGGGACATTCACACAGCACCACTGGCCCTCACCAGAGCAGAACGCAAAGATATTTGCGAGAAGAATCTGTGCTACAAATGAAACACTTGATGGGCACTGGCTTCCTCCTCATGGAGAGGGTAAGTGAAGAAGAGAATGAGGGCTCCATTGAAGCCACAAGTCAGATCCATCCTCGGGCGATTTCCTCATCTGCAAAATGGGGTGATGGGGCTGACTCTAGACATCCCTTCCTGGCCAAGGAAGGGCTCAGCACACCTTCGCCCTGCCTTTGATCAGGTGACAATTCCAGCCACATGGTTCTGGGCACAGGGCTAAGAATGCCACATGAGGGATTCCTTAATCCTTACAACTGTCTGAGAGGCAGAGGCTCTTGTCCCTGTGTCCCTAAACCAAAGCACGGGGAGGCTCCTGTGGCTGGAGAGTGGCTGGGAGGGTGCTAGAAGGTGAGCCTGCAGCTGGGATCCAGGACCCAGGCTCGGGGCCACCAGTGGCAGACCCTTCAAAGCTAGGCACCTCCATTTCCACCTGGTCTACCAGGGACTGGGCAGCACGCACCTTCCACCCCATTATGCCTGTGACCACCCCGGACAGCCCCAGAATGAATGGCAGCAGGGTCCAGGGAAGGCGAGGACACGGAGCAGACTCCCCGCTGAGGGAGGACCAGGTCCCCCGCCTGCAGCAGTGCCCCCGACGCAGCTCTGCTCTGCAGATGAGGAAGCGCAGCAGGGGCTGCGGAGGAGCCAACCGTCAGCTGCAGAGCCAGACACCAGGAAGGAAAAGAGAGCTCGCCCCGCTGCCCTTCCGGTGGGCTGGGAGGCCTGACCAGCGCGGAGAAGGGGCTGAGAAGCAGCAACGCCTGTGAATCTGGAGCTTGCTCTTGGTGCCCTGTGCTCTCGCCCAGTTCTGATGCCTCCTGGAGTTGAGGGCCTCAGAGACACAGCCAGACCTCAGCTGTGTCTCAGACAAGGGACAGACAAGACATCTTAGACGTCTGAGACAGAGGATGAATGTCTCAGTCCTGCCTGAACGATTCTCATCTGGGGGCCTTAGAGCGTCCCCCACCCTCAGCTTGCCATCCCTAATTTCCCCACACTAAGACCCTCGAAGACCTCCTTGCAGAACAGCCAAAGGCTTTAGAAGCCCCAGGCAGCCCAGGGGTAGAGGCAAGAACTCCCACCTTCCAGGTCAATGGTGGGCGTGGGGGAATGCGGGCCCCCGGCCCTGGGTTGGCTCTGGGGTGTCTGTCCTCGATGAGGCCATGGAGTGGAGCATTAGGGGCACCACCCTGTGGGCTGGCTTCCTCCAGCTTCACCCATCACTGTGTGGCCTCAGGCAAACAACTCGACCTCTCTGAATTCATCTCAGACTCTGTACATAGGGCCAAAAGTAGTTCTTATCTCACAGGGTCTTGGGTTACAGCTATGATCTGCTTAGCACAGGGCCGGGCCTAGAGCAAGCGCTCCATGAATTATACTTATTCCCTTATGCTCTGGCCCCCCCGGACCACAGCCAGCCCAGGATCTGTGCTGGGTCCACAGGAGGGCTCTGCTGCCTGTCCTCGGAGAAGAGGCCACAGGGGACTGCAGGAGCCGGCGGCAGGCCCACCCACTGACACAAGAGGTCACACTCACACATGCATGGCCACACATACATGCATGGCCACACATACACACACGGCCACACCAGCAGCTGCCTCTCCTCTCATCTCCGTGTAAGCGGAGCAGGCAGGGCGGGGTGGGCGGCGAGCATGACACCGGGCACAGCCCTATTGCTCAACGCCTGGACCGCGCCAGGTCTCAACGGTCAGAGACACGGCTGCTGGAGCCCAGGAGCCTCGCAATCTAGCCTCTGTGGGCCACGGGCTTTGAATATTTTTAGAGAAGTCGGGTTTCTGCCAAGTTCCTCTCCTTCAGATTCTTCCTGTTGCTGGTGGTTCCCACCCCACCGGGGTCCTCGGCCCCTGGTGTTCACAGGCCCATCTAGGCTCCTGGGGGCTTTGCAGAATCAGAGAGCATGCCGCTGCCAAGTTATCCTCCCACCCTAGCCGCTCCCCCTACCAAAATGCACCCCAGGACCCCGTGGCCCTCAAACTCAGGCCAGGCACTGTGGGAGGCCTTGTGTTTTCTCTCCACCCTCCGTCCCCTGCTTCTCACTGTCTTTGTCCCCCACCCCTTTTTATGTGAAAGATCCAGGCCTGACCAGCTGGGAGCCTAGGAACATTCATTTCGGCCCTTTGTAAGTGCGCACCTGGGTCTTCAGGCGTGAAGAGGCAGCAGGTTGGGCTGACTACATTCCAAGCCCATTGGGGTGGCTTTTCCTGTGTTTCGGTGGGTTTGTTCAGGCAGGGGCAAAAGTCATTCTTCCTGGATCCTGCTAGATCATAGCTCAAAAGTCAGCGGCACACTAGTGCAGCAACATGGACCCTCCACCACCTTCTCCAGCCCAAGTCACACCCCAGAAATACCCCCGTAGTGGGATAAGCAGCCGAAGGGTGGGTGCCATGGGTTTGGGGTCTGCCTGTGCTGTGCTCAGACACAGCTGGAGCCTCAGGGAAGTCCTGGGCTGTGCACGGCGCCACAGTGAGTCCATCACTACTCCAGGAGGGGCACGGGGCTATGAAGGAGGTTTCAGGTTGAAAGTCACTCCCTTGTCTTTTTTTTTTTTCTTTTTTTGAGATAGAGTCTTGCTCTGTCACCCAGGCTGGAGTGCACTGATGCAATCATAGCTCACTGCAGCCTCCAACTCCTGGGCTGAAGGGATTCTCCCACATCAGCCTCCCAAGTAGCTGGGAGTATAGGTGCACACCACTATGCCTGGCTAGTTTCATTTTCTTGTAATGTAGCCTTGTATAGTGAGACAAGATGTCACTATATTGCCCAGGCTGGCCTTGAACTCCTGAGCTCAAGTGATCTTCCTGCCTCGGCCTCCCAAAGTGCTGGGATTACAGGCATGAGCCACCGTGCCCGGCCATTCACCTTTTTTTAAGACTGCATTCAGCATTCGGCTCCTATGGCTGCCGTAACATATGACCACAAGTTTAGCAGCTTGGAACACCACGTGCAGATTCTCTGACCGTTCTGGAGGTTGGAAATCTGACACAGGTCTCACTGGGCTAGTCAGTGTGTCACAGGGCTGTGCTCCTCCCGGACGGAAGAATCTCTCTTCTTGCCCTTCCCAGCTTCTAGAGGCCGCCACATTTCTTGGCCTCTTCCTCTACCTTCGAAGCCAACATCTTCCAGTCTCTCTCTACTTACCTCGTCGCAAGCTCCATCTCTAACTCTGACTTGCTGCCTCCCTCCCTCTTACAAAGACCCTTGTGATGGCCCACCTATATAACCCAGAGCGATTTCCTCCTCTCAAGATCCTTAACGTAATGACATCTGCAAAGTCCCTTTTCCACGTCAGATAACACATTAACCGTTCTGGAGTGGGGACTTTTTTGCAGGGCAGGACGGACAGCATTATACTGCCAGTCACACGAACCTCGGGCAACTTAGCTATCTTCTCTGAGCCTCTCTTCCCCCAGCTGTGAAATGGGAATGATGATGATGATGGTGTTGATGACGGTGAGGGTGATGGTGGTGACAGTCACAATGGGGGTGATGGTGACGGTCGTGACGATGGTGGTGATGAGGAAGGCGATTATGGTGACAATGATGATGATGAAGGTGGTACTTTGTCCTGTAGGGCTGCTGGGAGGATTCAACTGGTTCATTTAGAGTTCATACAGCTACACTGAGCACACAGTAAATGCTACATATGTATGTCTGTCAAATATAAGAATTATTTTGCTACAGGGAAGTTTCTGCCTGTGGGTTTCACACTTTCCCCGCTGGGTAACTGACTCGCTCTGTAACACGACAATCCTTTACGAGTCTTCCATGGGAACCAGGATTTCTATCATATCGTTAAAACAGCTCAGCATGCCCTGAAGACCTGGACAATATGTATATAGGTGATACATACAATGTGAGGCTCCCAACCCTGGTGTGCAAAAGGCCCTAATAGGAAGTGAATGGAGCAAGCCAGCCCATCTCTCAGTACACCTCCCGACACACAGGCCTCCTGATTCCCTCTCAAGCCAGTCCATCTCTCAGTACCACACCTCCCAACACACGGGCCTCCTGATTCCCTCTCAAGCCAGCCCATTTCTCAGCACCGCACCTCCCAACACACTGGCCTCCTGGTTTCCTCTTAAGCCAGCCCATCTCTCAGCACCATGCCTCTCAACACACTGGCCTCCTGGTTCCCTCTCAAGCCAGTCCATCTCTCAGCACCACGCCTCCCGACACACAGGCCTCCTGGTTCCCTCGCACACACCAAGCACCTTCCCTCCTAGGGCCTTTGCACTGTCTGTTTCACATTCCTGAACAGCTCTTCCCCAACCTCCAACCCCACTCCTCCCATCCTCTAGGCTGCACCCTAAATGGACCCTCAGGTGGATCCTCAGAAAACGCCCCCGGGCATCTGTCTGAAGTGGGCAACCCACTGCATCCCCAATGCCACCCTATATTTTCCTTTCAGGCTGTAATTCCCTATTCAGCTGTTTGGTCATCCATGTCCCCCTCCAGAGATTCATGGCTCATATCTGCCCAGTACCCAGCACTGTGCCTGGCAGCTGCAGAATTATCAATGCAACATTTGGTGAATGAGTATTGAAACCAAGGCATCCAGCCTGCTCATTGGCAAACACTTCTTCAGCCCCTCCCGTGGACCATATGCCCTGCTGGGAACTGCACACCAAAATGAAAAACACAGAGAGAGAGGTAAGTGGATATTCAGGACACAGCGCAGTGAGTGCCAGACAAGCCCTTCTCAGATGGGTGTGCACATTGTTTAATGAGTGGGACTGGAGCCACCCAGCGGCAGCCACCAGCTACCTGCAGCTATGCCATGCGCATTTAAATTGATTACAATCCCACCGTGTGAAGGATCACGCGCTCAGGTGTCATGGCGGCTGGTGGCTCCATTTGGACAGCGCGGGCGTGGGTCATTTCCCATTCATCACAGAAAGTTCAGGCAGACGGTGCCGCACGAGGATCTCAACTGCACTGTGCCTTCAGGAAGCCACATGTTGCTTACATTTAAATTAAAATTAAAGTTCAGAATTCAGATGTGTTGGACAAGCAGATGATAGCATGTGTCTATCCATGCAGAAAGTTCTGGTCCACCACGTGGCTCCCCCGTTAAACTGCCTGGGTTGAAATCCTGGCTCTGATTTCCCCACTGGGGCAAGTTCTTTCTCCTCTCTGTGCCTCGGGCTCCCCAGTTCAAGTGAGGGGTGGATGGAACTCAACACACAGGCCCTGGCGCGCACATAGCAGCTGCGGTCACTGTTGGCGCACGGTCCGCTGCCAGCTCACCGGGTGAGTTAAGGAGGGCTGGGATTCCTACATCCATTTTAAAGATGCAGAAATGAAAGCCCCGAGAGGCTGCTCACACTGCCCAGGGCACACAGCCTGTGCGTAGCCAAGCACCTGGGCCTCCAGTCTGCTGCTCGCTTGGCTTCCCAGCCCTTGCTTGATCTTGGTGACCAACAGTGTGGCAGGACACCAAGTTGGCAGGTAACTGGTGGCATTTCCATAAGATCAAGAAGGAGCACATGTTCTGAGCCAACCATCACAGAACCAATGTGAAGGCACTGAGATTCCCCGAAAACGTGGCCCTGACCGTCTTCCCCTGCCATGACCCCATCACCGAGATGGGGCATTTGCAGCTGCATCTCCATTTTTCCAAGGGCAAGGAGAAAGGGAGGCCCAGGAGAGCTCTCAGAGTGTCTCTGAGCAGGGATTCAGGCCAGGAAAGAGTGGGTGGTGCAAGGCCGGGTGCGGTGGCTCAAGCCTGTAATCCCAGCACTTTGGGAGGCCGAGACGGGCGGATCACGAGGTCAGGAGATCGAGACCATCCTGGCTAACACGGTGAAACCCCGTCTCTACTAAAAATACAAGAAAATTAGTCGGGCGAGGTGGTGGGCGCCTGTAGTCCCAGCTACTCGGGAGGCTGAGGCAGGAGAATGGCGTAAACCCTGGGAGGCGGAGCTTGCAGTGAGCTGAGATCCGGCCACTGCACTCCAGCCCGGGCGACAGAGCGAGACTCCATCTCAAAAAAAAACAAAAAACAAACAAACAAACAAAAAAAGAGTGGGTGGTGCAGACGCAGGAGCAGGGGTGGGGACCAGTGGGACGAGCCTGGACATGTGGGGCGCCGGCTTAAGCGCGGCCCTGGTATTCCTCGCTAAGTAGCAAATCATGACTGCGTCTATTTTTACTTAATCTTCATCATTCCCAGTGGTGAAAGAGCCGTGACAATTGAGGAAGTGGTGGGTGGACTTCTTTTTTCTTCTTAATCAAGTGCAAAGCTTTCCTTTCGGAATCCGGCATTTGAAAGAATGTACTGGAACCAAGGGGTCAGGCAGAGGCATCTGCTGCCCTGAGAATGAATCCTCGGCTTGTCCCTCCTAACACGAAGCGGCAGTGCCAGGCTGGGTCCCCATGGGCCCCACCTCGGGCGCTCAGCGCTGTGTGTTGTGACACTGCAGGGTAGGCCGGGCACGCTCACAGGGCTGGGTTGGTTTTTACATCCCCCTTGGAAACTCTCACCCAGAGTCCTCTCAGAGTGTGGCTGGGAGTATTCCTACAAACCGTTACAAAGGATTTTAGGCGACACATTTCTATAACTGCAATGCTCCTTAAAACAACTGTTTTTTCAGTTTTGCCCTTTTGCAAAATAACTGTTTTTATACCCATGCAGAAGCTCGTTCTCTCAAAATTATTCTCGGTCAGAACTGCTCTTGCCTGTGGCACTAAAGAGAAAGCAGAGACAAAGGTTCCACTCTCCAGTGTTGAACCAGGGTGTCCCGCTGAGGAATTCTGGACGTTTGCCCAAAGCAGCAAACGCCCGTCCCCAGCCTCAGGACCTCAGGCCCAGTATCTGCTGAAAGATACTCAGGTGGGCATCTCCCCCATTTTCTTTCCTCTGATAAGAAAACAAGTCACCATTTGAAGGCAACCTCAAAAGTACGGCATCTTGCTGTCCCACAGGGCAGGAATCCAAGACACAAGGGCCCTTCCACAGATCACTTTCAGCTCCACATCGTGGTGAAAACACAGCCCCTGTGAAAGTCAACATTCCTCCAGCCGGGCGCGGTGGCTCACGCCTGTAATCCCAGCACTTCGGGAGGCCGAGGCGGGCGGATCACGAGGTCAGGAAATCAAGACCATCCTGGCTAACATGGTGAAACCCCATCTGTACTAAAAATACAAAAAATTAGCCGGGCATGCTGGCGGGAGCCTGTAGTCCCAGTTACTCAGGAGGCTGGAGGCTGAGGCAGGAGAATGGCGTGAACCCAGGAGGCAGAGCTTGCAGTGAGCCAAGATCGTGCCACTGCACTCCAGCCAGCAGCCCGGGCCACAGAGCAAGACTCCGTCTCAAAAAAAAAAAAAAAAGGAAGAAAGAAAGTAAATATTCCTCACGCCCAGATCTACATGTGGCAAGGGGCAGGACATACATTTAGTGGAATCGTATTTTTGTCAAAACAAACCAACCATGTTAGTCTGGGAAGGATGCTTAGAACACCATTAGCATAGGTTACTGCTGGCATGGAAATGAGAAGGAAGAAGCTTCCATTTTTTACTTTGTACATTTCTCTATTGTCTCAATGTTGTTGCAATACTCATACATCCCTTGTGTGTGCTTCTTACGTTTGGATGCATTTTTCCTTGAAACACAATAAAGGGAAACTATTATTGAGTTACCCAGTACACGTAAGACACTAGATCAGATACTGAATGTCATACAAAAGTGAGAAGCGGTAATAAATGTGACTGCTACCTTTTAATTTAATTGGGCACATTTACTCTGTGCCAAGCTGTTATAGCCATTCTGCATCCAATCAACTCTTGAATGTGGCTGCTTCTATTCTTTCCATTTTATGGATGAGGAATGAATGTGAGACCCAAAGTTAAGCCAGTCATCCAAGGTCATCAGCAGCCACGACAGGTGGTGGTTGGAGGATTGGATTTGGAAGCCTCCAATCTGAACACTGTGATTTTTATCCTGAACAACCACTTGCTATTCCATGGCCAACATCACAAGGATGAGGTATGGACACAGATGGTCTTATGGAAGAGTACTGTTCACACAGCAACGTGCACGGAAGAGAGACAGGCAAGACGGATTGGAAGGGGGTCTGAGCTGAGGCAGCAGTTGGGGGTTCAGCAGGGGTGGACCATCGTGAGGCCACGGTGAACCAGGAGGGGTCTTTGCAAATGACTCAATGTTGCAGACAATGGAGGGAAGGAAACCCAGAGGGCGAAGGAGTTTTAAGCCCAGGAGGTATGTTCAGGTGAAGAAGGGATTTCGAATGTTTACCCAGAGGCATCCCACCACAGCTACGGTTTTGAGATTCCCAGGGTTTTTTTTTTTAATGAAACACCCCAATTTTTTAAAACCACTGTTGTTGGACATCTCTTTACACTTCACCCTGTCCATACAGGAATATCAAAGAGGAAGAAGTTCCTTCGAACCCCTCAGTAAATTCTGCTAAGGCCTGTGAAAATGAAAACCGAGGAGAGTCACCAGGATATTAAATCTCAAGCTGCGAAGCATTAGAAAGAATTTTTTAAGCACAGCACAACATCAAACTCATGGGACAACCAGACTCAAAAGATGGCAGCACAGAAGCAATGTTTGCTGAGCTTTCAAAGACCACGAATCAAGAGATTTGTCTACAGGAGCGGGTTTTTCAAATTTACAAATTTGGTTTGTTTGGGGAGCAGCTGCTCTCTACAACTTTGGTTTGAGGGTATTTAACTCTAGATCATTGTTTTTCTTTGTGACTTTGTTTTCCAACTAGTTTAGCAACCCCGGTATTTTGGGGAAACATAACTGCGTGGCTGGTGGGAGATTCCACCACTGAGTTTTCAAGGCCAATGGATCAGGCATTTTAAAAGGTCTGCAGCATACAGTGGTGTGGTTTGTGCACTGCACAAAGTGCTTCTGTCTCAAGTGGGGCTAAAGTCCAGGCTGTGAGCTGCCTTGTAGGGACACGTTTTTCTTTGTACAAAAGCCCTGGCGGTAAGCTCGCCAACCCCGAGGCCTGCAAGTCTGCATTCACCCAGGAAGGAAGGCTTTTTCCCATTCACATGAAAGTGCCATCTTAGCTGGTAGTGACTCGTGTCTGGGAGAGTTATGGAGAGACAGAAGAGAGGCTGGCCCCTTGCAGGGTGCCGTCATATAGAGGTTGGAAGGAGGAAGGGAAGCTTACGGTGTGGCTGTAGAAAGGAGGCATTTCCGTAAGTTCAACTTGCAATGAGAGTGGAACTTGAACAAGCCCCTCACCCCTCACCCTGGGGTTGGCCGGGAGCCCTCTGTTAAACATTGACCAAGGTACGGGCACCTCCGATCTGAGATTCCCTTTAAAACCACACCTGCAGTCGTGTATTTGTACAGTACCAAGGCAGGGGAGGATGACCTTGCGTGCACCAGGCTGGAAGCCTCCAACTGGCATGTTTTAAGGCTTAACCATCCCCTTCACCTGCTCGCCTGAAATCCTTTCACTGAGAAATGGTTAGTCCTAACAGAAAGGAAGGGTCTACCCACCATTGCACGAAAGGAGGGGATCTGCTGGTTTCAGTGGCATCTAGATGTCACCGGCTGATACCTGTTCCTTGAACAGGGTGTGACTGAGACAGAGGGAACCGCCAGGGCAGTTCTGCCTTAAGGAGTGGGGAGAGGGGGCCATGGGAACACAGTGTAAGAGGAGGGA